AATTTTATACTATGGAATTTTATCTAAGAAAAATGAATGATACAAACGGAATAAATAAATTGAAATAAACCTTTAATAAAGATTTTATTTTTGGAATTGATATGTTTTTTATTTTGTTCCTTTCTCTAATCAAATAGGATTGACTTTTCGATAATAATGTTTAATTTTATTAAAAATTTAATATATATAATGTAATACGTACGTAGGTGCGTGCGTGCGCGCGCGCGCGCGCGTGTGTGTGTGTGTGTGTATGTTGGAATACAAATTTTAAAATATGGAAAAAATTGTTAAAACCAAAATAATAAGAAACCAAATAATTAAAAATTAACCATTTGATTCTTTCATTTTAATAAGTCATAAAAATATAATAAGATATTTAAATTTATTTAGACACTTGTTTAATTTTATTAAATGTTACAATATAATATAATTTATTATCAATTTAAATGATCCTAGTAAGAACGAAAAATCGTGCGGGATCTCTGTAATCATGCGCATGTGCACGCGCCGCGCGATCAAACGGTCTCGAAAAGAGCGGCAAACTGAATATAAATCGGTGCACTAGTAATTATTGCGCAGTTAGTCGCAAAGAGGAATTCATGCTTGGAGGAAGCGAGTCTCGCAGCAAAGATCTTTTACTGCGCAGTTCGACAAATAATTTCGCAAATCGAGCATCCGACATCGAGTGTTAACGAAACGAGTGATTTTCAAAGTCGACAAAGTGCGTATTATGACTTGTCTCCTAATCACACGCATCACGCACTGTCAATGATTGCTTAATAATCACGCAGATTAATTGAATTATTATGCACTTTTTGCTGTTTTTACATTTAAAATTATGACAAATAAATAATAGCCTTTTTATACAACAATGATAAAACTACGATTAAAAGAGAATTTATACATTTGTTAAGACTTTTGAGTATAAGTTATATCATTTAATATTGTTTTTCAGAGTTTAGACTCATCAAAATTTTTTTAAATAATTATTTTAACTAAAGTACTTATTTAAATAAGTACTTTAAGTAAGTATTAGATGTTTATTATTCTTCTCTAACAATTTCAGCTTACACATTTATTAGTTATGTTATAATATAATTTATATTAAATATAATACAATTATTAATATTATTATTAAATCTACATTTACTATATATTATATTTATATATAAATTTTAGTATTCAATCATTTCTTTTTAAATTTTAAACTCATTAAAATTTCTTTAAATTTCTTTAAATACTTAAACACTTTTTTGATAATTTCAGTTTGTACACTTATTAAATATATTATAATTATTGATCAAATATAATAAAATTATTTATGTTCCTCTTATTATCATCATTTATATTCATCATCTATAGATATTTATTATTCATTATGTCGCATTTAGATTTTATTTATATTCGATTATTATCAATTACGTTTTATTTTTCAAAAGCTCTCCAAATTCTATAATAAAAGTGATAATTTATTACATGTGACAAAATTAAATCAGGTAAATAATGATCTGTTAATTCCTAATTCCTGCAGGAAATCATGGCATTGGTATCGAGAAGCATATTCCGTGATTGGTGGGACGATATAGATCGCTACCATCGTGAGATGGAGGAACACTTTCGGAGGCTGAGTCTGCATGATGACGATTTGTGGCGAATGCCGTCGCTCATCGGCAGGTTCCGGCGATTGCGCGATTACGTATTTAAAAATGAGATGGACGGATGGGCAACAGTCGAATGTGACGCGGATAAATATCGGATAGTGGTGGACGTACAACAGTTCACGCCGGAGGAAGTCACCGTTCGCACCGACGACAAGTACATCACCATTGAGGCCAAGCATCATGAGAGGAAGGATAGCCACGGCTATGTGTCGCGACAGTTTACACGTCGTTATTTGCTGCCGCATGGTTACGACATCGGTCAGGTGAAGCCCAGGTTGTCTTCCGATGGTATTCTGACTATTACGGCACCCAAATGGAAATGGGCTTTACCAGCGCCGAGCGAGCGATTTGTGCCAATTATACGACAAACCTATTGGCCGGCCATCAAGACCAAGTAATACGCTGAGGTGTTTCCGGATATCGCGAAAATGATTGAGAAATTAATCGTCAAAACGAAATGTCCGAATAATTTTTTTAAAATCATGATTGTCTTCAAAATCAATAGTTTGCAGAGATGTATATACCATTGTCTGTAATAGCATTTGACCTATCAAGAAACGAACAATCAAATTTTGAGAAAAAAATTAATCGTTTTAGTTTCTTGAATGTTTGAATTTTTAAATATCTTTGCAACGAATTTCAGGCCGATTCGCGTTGTTCGGCTTCCTCGCAAATGTCTATTATTATGTGTATACAATCGATCAGTATAATTACGTTAATATTACATTTGCTAATATTTTTACTACGTGTATATAGGGCGTTCCGAAATTTGCGAATCAAAATACTGCAGCAAGACAGATATCGAAAAATTAAATAAAAAAAGTTATATGTACATTTTTATTTGAAGCAGTAGTTTTTGAGATATAAGGATTCAAATACAGTCAATTACAAGTTACGTTTAGTCGCCTATCAGCTATCCGTATGAATCGTATAATATTAGTAAGCACGCATTTCAGCGTTTAATTTTTTGAAAAATTTTTCACTATGGTATTTTAATCGATTTATAAATTTCAAGACACTCTGTATGTACATATACACATATATATATATGTATATGTAAATGTATTAGCATTGCAGTCTGTCAGCAAGGGTCACGATCGTTATTTACGTTACAGTTTAAGATAGATAAAAAAAGACTGCAGAGTTAGATTTGTATTCTATTATGTTAAAAATAAACATTCACACTCGATTGCATATAAGACATTCCGAGAGCGGAAATTAATAGATCGATTCGATAATTACGATCGTGACTCAAGTTTGGATGACTTTAATATATAGCGTAATGAGCCATAATTAGAAAATTGTATAAAAACATGCATGTACAGTTGCATTGTATTAATTATTTTCTCATAGCTTTAAAAGACACAAATGAGAACAACGGCATATTATGAAGCTTTACGACGCTGTTAGACTGTAGACATTACATCATTCGGGTTCGTCTCGGCGATTAGTTTCGAACGGTTCATACCGCCGTGACTCGCTATTAAAATGTAACAACTGCTATTGCGTATGTTCTGTACAGCTTGTTGCTCTTACGTAATCGTTCATTTAATTTATTCGTGTTATCGTTAGCTTGACAATTCGATTTAGAGTTTATACTTATAGGTTGTTTACGTAACACTTCTTTTTGGCAAGGAATGTGAGTTGCATAAAATATGTATGATTAATATAGGTAAATCATTCGGTATTATAATTACTCGTCACAATCAAGAAGCTAGAATTATAGACGATATTATGTAATGCACTTATATTTGTATTAGTTAGATGGTTGCAATTGTGTTCAAGTTCAATTAAACGCATATATAATAATAATAATAAATATATATTTCACATTCAAACGATTTTATTCTTGCGATACTTTTCGCATAGTCATTTGTAATTTTATTCGCTTTGTATTAAGCTAAATATAATATTTTGCTAATAACATTTTCTTTAATAAAAGTTTAATATCAATTTAATTTTGTATTTTGCTATCATTATTGTCATTGAATAATTGCCATTAAATTTATATATAATTCTTATAAATTATTAATTTGCTTTAATTATAATTATGTGTTTCTAATAATGTTACTAGTAATGTTCTTTTTTTAATAAAAATTTAATTTCAATATTTTACTTAAACAATCATTTTTGAATGTGTAATTTTATATACTTTCAATAAAATTGCAATTATATTATTTAATTTACATACTACAGTTGTAAATTTGACAAATATTTATTTTATAATATACGATATAAATTTGATTTAAAATCAAATTTAAAATCAAATTTTTTTTTTTTAAAACGCATTTATGCTGTTGAGTATTTAAATCCTAACAATACCACTTATGGCATGCAAAAATTTATGTGCATAAAAAAAATAAGTCGCAATAAATATTTTTTCAATTTAGCCAAATTATTGAATTATCATTATTGAATTATCTATCGGCCATAAATTACGCATCTGTGCCAAACATCGAAATCGTGCATACATTTTTCACTTTTTTCATGTTGCAAAGCTGCTATTAAACAATTCGACATTCACAGAATTCCATTTATAAATTGTAAGTAGAATTCCGTCGCGTGACACAAGATGTTTAAAAAAATCAGAATGCACATGTATATGTACACCTATTATACATTAAAATACATGCGCATATATCACGCATAATGTACAATACGTGTTTACATTATAAAGGACTTTGTCTCGAATTGGCTCTCTAGAATGATGTTAAACCAGGCCTGTCCAATTTGAGCTTCGGAGTTAAAACGTCGGAGTAAAAATCATCGACATAGAAAAACTCAATGTTAGTAAGATTTTAGAACTATAGAGTGTTGATAAGTGTCACTTAGATGCATATCAACACTTTACAGTTCCCGAAATCTTACTCACATTGAATTTTTTTGAGTCGATAACTTTGCGTTTTGGCTTCGGAACTCAAATTGGACAGGCCTGAGTTAAACGTTTGAATAACATTCGATTATGATCTATGAATGCCTTTCTTATGACGGTCCTCGTTCTTCCTCGCTCTCAGAGAATGGCGTTTGATCGTCTTGACTGTTTGGTGACAGCGGTTCCTCCAAGATTGTTTCCTCTGCGGGTGTTAAACCCTGCATCCATCTAGCCTGTTCCTCAATCATCGGAATTTTTTCGTCAATCAATTTCTCCATGTTTACCTTGTCCAATTCCTCTTGTATACGTCTCTTTAACGGTCCTTCGATCGCATCCATGATTTGATATCTATGAAAGTAAGAATAAAAAGACACAGTTAGAAACTTAAACAAAGAGTATTTAAAAGAGTAAAAAAAAAAAAAAAATTAAAATATAACACAGAATCGTATTTTCCATAGTTAAATATCTGATATGTGAGTGTTTAATAAAAAAAACTAAAAATATATAAATAGAATCAGTTTTACCATCTCTGATTAGTTCAATTGATCAATTAAATGTCAATCGTGATTAGTCAATTTTGCTTAATGACAAATGCGATTGGTCAATTTCATAGAATAATCGACTGATCAAGTTAATCAGAGATGATGAAACCGGTTCTTAGCCCGTTTTCCATCAATATAGATTAATTTAAATTTAATTTCGATTCAAGTTATTCTTCATCTTTTTCTATTTTTAAGAAAAAAATAAAGAGTATAAAGTTGAGCCTAAATTAATATGAATTCTCTAAATCCCAAATCATTCTGATTGTAACATATGACCTTAAAAGAATTTTGGGGAAGCTAGAAAACGCAAGTAAGATTATTTAATACCAAATATCAAATATTTTAAATATTATAAACAATCAAATATTTCGAAACATAGAGGATTTAAGCGAAACGTTCGTTAACAATTTTCCGAGATTACAAGAATACTACAATTTTGTTTATTGATATGTATTAGACATGTTTCCTAATGCTCATTGTGATTAGATCCGTGTCAGAAAATCGCCGATTATGGACGTCGCCTTGAAATCGATGATGCGAGACGCATATTTTACAAGGCCGGGGCTATTACGTATGGTTTACCTTAAAAGGTTTGGTAGTATATTAATGCTCGCTTCCACGAGATAATCGAGCGTTCTGGCGCCGTGGAATCTCGCTTGGATGTTGCCCAACTCGAGCTCCAGTTCTTCTAATGTAGCGCGTTTCCGCGTATCCAATGGCTGAGCCAGCTTTATTTGAACCCGAAAGTATTGGACGGTGAAGGACACGGTGCCGGCACGCGACAGGAAGCCACCGATTACGCTCATCTCCCAATGCGTCTTACCCTCAAGTTCTTGGGTGCCGACATCCAGAAGCGCATATATCTATATAAGGTGCCGTATATGTATGTAAATACAAATTAAATCTGCGATAAGCGTCACCTACGCACGTGCAAAATCCAAAAACCGCACACTATAACGATTTACAAACGTACCTTTACAAACGTAATATTTACGCAACGATGGTCGCGATTATGGCCGATGCAATTGCTTTGCGTTTAGCAATTTCGTAGACGTTTATTTATTTTAAATTAAATTATAACTCATCTATCTAAAATCTAAATGTTACAGTTTTTCGAAATAGATACTTTTCGTATACCTATTACAGCAATATTTTTAGATCCACTTGGAACTCTTTGATTGAAGATATATTAATATGCTAGATCTTAATTAGATCTCTTATAAAAAAATTGCACTTACAGTTCCATTCTCCATAGTGATGGTTATATTTCCCATGCGATAGAAACTGGCTAAACCGGTGATCCAGGTATGTGACGAGGTCATAGTGAATATACCGACGCTTTGGGTATAATCTTTTAGTTGGTATGGATCATAGCCCATCTGAGAAACCTGCTTTCGAGCTTCTGCAATCGCCATATCGAAGGGTGAAATCGAATTCGGAAAGTATTGTGGTAATTGTGATATTTGTTTATTCACTTCGCCCCTGAAATATATCATACATTGTTGAGAAAAAATATAAACACACACAAGCCGGAAAATAAATTCTCTCTTTTTTTAAAAAAAAAAAAAAAAGAAAAAATTTATTTATTATTGTTAAAAATACATGGAACTTTATAAAAAAATATGTAATTTAAATTATATAGATATTGATATT